TATGAATCTCTCCAGCCGTGGAATGAAACACACTCTCTGGGCTGTATTGCCATCTTTCTTTCTGTCCGTTTCACTCTCTCTCTCCTACTGGAAGTGGCACCAGACGGCCCTTCGGCCCTTATAAGGTGAAATCAGCACGCCTGGTAGAGTAAAGCAGAACCATATGTCGCCCACTGACTCCCTCGCGCAGCTCCGCCAAGGGGCTTGGGCTCTGTTGCGGAGCTGCACACAGGAGCCTAACTTCTGCTAATATAAACCGAAGAGGTCATGCTTATATGGTCATGTTCAGGCCGCACACTGGTGTTTTATGTTACAGAGAGGGAAGTAACGAGGGCTGCGTTCTGTGTTCATGCGCTGCAGTAACTTTATTTTGACTCTAAAATGAATAGCTCATGTTATTGTGATTATGGATTTGTCATAATACCCCATTTCCACACTCATACCGGCTGTGAATCAGGATGTTTTCTGATCTCATGCGTGAGGATCTTCTCTATGACATCATTAGAAACCTCTTTTTGGAAGCATGATGTCATAGTTGGATCTTCCAGTGACTTGGGAATGGTCACACAGAAACTCTTTAACACAGGAAGGACTGTTTGATTTAAAGTTTAGTGGTGAAAATACAGTAAAATTTTGGATTACTTGTGGATTATTGTGATGTTTTATCAGCTGTTTAGACTCTCATTCTGACGGCACCCATTCACTGCAGAGCATCCACTGGGGAGCAAGTGATGGAATGCTAAGTTTCTTCAAATATGATGAAAAAAATTCATCAAAAACTACATTTTGGATGAACTGAGGATGAGTACATTGACATTTTTGGGTGATCTACTTCTTTAACATATTTATGGACCATAGTATTTATGTATGCAGATTATGGTATATGTCCATGATACTTTTTGGTGCCCTTTGGTTAGTGGTTACTTTGTGAGCTTTCCTTCCAGCTGTAGTTATGAAGTAAGTGTGCAGTCAGACAGTCCCCGTCTCTCTGTCCAGAACTCACAGAAGAAAAACAGCAGAACCACAATCCGCTCTTGTCTGTTGAAGTGAATCTGGATGCTAAATCAAGCCTTTTCAAACGCTGCATGGAAAATCTGAGCCACACGTGAGAGCTACTTCATATTCCAGCGGCCGTCCTGCCGTTCGTTTTTCCAGCAATCAGGCGCAGAAACACTGAAGCCTGTGTGGAAATCATCTTCCTTCTGCAATCAATAAACTCAAATAAATACATGAAGGAACGACATACAAATAAAGAGAGAAATCTCCAAAGCAATACGTGACCTTTTGTAACTGCTTGTCCATCATGTTAAAGTTTGTGTGGCTGTAAGTTCATGAATATTTAAAGGGGTCATATGACGTTGCTAAAAAAAACCATTATTTGGTGTATTTGGTGTAATGAAATGTGTTTATGCGGTTTAAGGTTCAAAAAGCACATTATTTTCCACATACTGTACATTATTGTTTCTCCTCTATGCCCCGCCTTTCTGAAACGCGTCGATTTGTAAATATGAAAGCGTACTTACAGGCTGTGAGTCAGCATTATTTGTCAGAACACCGGCATTGTAGGCTACTCTCAGGAAACAGTCCTCATCCTCCGTAAAATGCGTTGCCCACACACAAATGTTTGGGTTGAACTGTTCTGGAACAGTGTTGTAAATACAACTTAACCACTGATTTCTAGTTGTGTCCTCTTTTGGAAGACCAAACAAAGTAGTTTCGCTTTCACAACAAAACACAGCGTCTCCACAACATGGCGGCGGCAGCAGCAACAATACTACAGTGAGAATAAAAGTTACGCCTTCTTTCTTTGCGTGAACATTTGGGCGGCGTTATGCAAATCTTCCCACACAGTGACATAGACATGTGGGGGCGTGTTTAAACGAGGCGTTTTAGGGGGGCGTGGACAAGTCTTAACTTTGATAAAGAATATCTCTTTGGGTTTGAGACTTTAGTCTTTGCAACTTTAGGGATCTTATCTATTCACGAACAGCTTGCAACACTCCAAAGAGAAAGGAAAACTTGAAATCGCATCATATGACCCCTTTAAAGTGGCAAGCATTGTTTAGATTATGATTGGTTGTCTGATGCTAAACAACTAGTTTTTTGTGTAACCCTGCAATTTGGGTTAAAAGAAGTGCTAAAAGTGCTTCAAAAGTGAAACTTCACTTAACCCAATATTAAAAAATGGACTTGACTTGAGGTAAAAATATGTTAATTTAGCATTAAGCATGGTGTGAATATGCTTAAAACTAAGCTGCAGAAACAGTGTGTACAGAAATGATTTAGCATCTTAGCAGTGGCATTATAATTCATTTTGCATGCAATTAAAAAAAACTCATCATTTAAAACAATGTTTATATACATAATCTTTTTTTATGTATTATTATAAAAATTTATATAATGATTTGATATTTTATTCTATTTTTATGTGCATTCGACAGACACTTTTATCCAACTCAACTTAAATTCATGGTTGGTTTGTTTGTTTATTTTTTATATATTTTTTTATTTAAAATCAGTTCATGGATATCCTGGGAAGTTGAACCCATGATCGTGTTTTACCTTTTGGGCTAAAGGTATTCAATTATTTTTTATTATTTATTTGTTTATAGATGTTTTTGCTGTCAAAAACAGAACTACGACATACTTACACAATCAAATTTGCATCTTGATGAATATGAATCCCTTAATTTAAATGAATGATTACATACATATTTTTATTAATATAGTTATTGTAAATATTTTATCTTAATTTGTTATTTTTGTATGTATTTGACAGCCACTTTTATCCAAAGCAACTTGAATTCAAGGTTTATTTATTTATTTCATTTTATGAATATTCAATGACCTTGGTGTTCTAGTGTTGGGTGTACAAAAATTAAATGATCAATTATTATTATTTTTTTTATTCATTTATAGAAGTTGTTACTGTCAGAAACAGGACTATGACAGCACACTTACACAATCAACTTTGCATCCTGATCAGGATAAACTCAGATAAACTAAAAATAACCTTACGGCAGAAGTTTTTCTGTGATTTCTCAGCTGTTAACTGTCCAACATCTCATGACTGGGAGCTGAAGATATTACTTTCCATTGCAGATGCTTGAACAAACTTTCCGAGACCTTTACACAACCCGATGTAAATCTGCTGAAAATACACACGTCCCTCAGTGACTGACACACATGCCAGAAGAGCACAGCGCTCCGCTTTCATTCACTTTCCGCTGATAACGTTCAGATTTGTTGCCATAGTTCCACACACACTCACACACACATGTTTGTTTTTGTGAATTGTTGGGACTCTCCATAGGCGTAATGGTTTTTATACTGTAAACTGTATGTGCTATTGCCCTACACCTAACCCTACCCCTTACAGGAAACTTTCTGCATTTTTACTTTCTCAAAAAAACTCACTCTGTATGATTTCTAAGCGTTTTGAAAAATGGGCACATGGGGTAATGTCCTCATAAGTCACCTTCTCCTTGTAATACCAATGTCGTACCAATGTCATTATACAAATCTGTGTCCTCATATGTCACAAAAACGTGCACACCGTGTTATGTAACGTGATGATGTGTAAGAACGCCTCCTATTAGTGAGGAACTGACACAATGATGACTTTAGCAGAGGCTCTTTAACAGTGTTGACGGTCAGTCGAGTAAAACTCCTCCTCCTCTCTTGCACAGTCTGTCTGGAATGGACAGATGTTTCCTTCTGGGAACAGTTCACACACACACACACATGTGCCTGACGCCTGTCTGCTGTACAGATTGCATTATTGGTTTAATTGATTGGTGTGTTAATGGGAAAGACTGATGCTGATTGGTCCATTATTCTGATTCTGTTTGTACTTTGCATCATGGGTGATGATATGTGAACTTGAGTCTAAGAAATATACAGTTTTAATAATTAATTCTTTGTATAATACATATCTAATTCTGTACCGTACAAAAGTTTGGTGAATAATGTTTTTGAAAGAACTGAATAGTTTTATTCAGCAAGAAAAGAATGCATTCAATTGATCACAAGTGACAGTAAAGACATTTATATAATGTTACAAAAGATTTCTGTTTCAAATAAATGCTGTTCTTTTGAACTTTCTATTCATCAAAGAATCCTGAAAAAAGGTCACAATTTCCACAAAAATATGAAGCAGCACAACTATTTTCAACATTAACTATAATAAAAGTTTATTGAGCAGCAAATCAGCATATTAGAAAGATTTCTGAAGGATCATGTGACACTGAAGACTGGAGTAATGATGCTAAAAATTCAGTTTTATATCATAGGAATAAATTACATTTTACAATGTATTCATATAGAAAACAGCTATTTTAAAATGTAGTAATATTTCACAATATTAGTGTTTTTACTGTATTTTTGATTGAATAAACTCAGCCTTGATATGTATAAAAGACTTCTTTCAAAAACATAAAAAAATATTTCCAAACTTGTATAACATTTTTTTTTGCCTGTTTTGGGATTGCACTATATGGTTAATTTAGATTCAAATATTAAAATCTTTCATCTTAAGATTACCATACTGGTTCCTTAAAGAAGCAGTAAATAGTTGATTGTGAATGCAATGGACAATGAGTAACGTTCATTTTCAATGCTTGGTTTACCCAGAAATCTTGGTTTAAAAAAGCTGTATGCCTTTCTTTCTTTCTACACCAGTGTACAGTGATTTAGATTGTCATGGTCCAAAAAAGTGCCATAACACAAGTACACAAATGAGCAATTTTAGAGCTACGGAAGATTTTACATTTCATCTGTTCCTCGCACGAAACCATTGTATGATGCTTGTAATGTCGTGCACAAGTCACAAACTACTTTTGTGATGCTTTCTTTTTGGAGCTCGACAGCTAGTTTCACAGAAGAAGGGACGTCATATGGGTTTGAAACGGCTAACTTCATGAACAGGTTTCTGCAGTGTTTGTCTAGAGTTTGAGTGTGTGTGTGAATCTCTAAGCATCTCTTTCTGGCTTCTGTTGCAGAGATCTATCCAGAAACCACATTGCCTCTGTGGATTCCAGCCTCTTTGATCACCTCACCGCCCTCAAGGAGCTGTAAGTGCCACGTCTCTCGTGCGTGAGCGTGTGTGTGTGTTTGTGTTTGTGCGTGTGCTTGAGACGCAGTCATTCACGTACGTCTGTAGTGGGTGGTCTGGTGCTTGTATAATAGGTGGTCTGGTGTAAACGTGAGTGTGTTTCTTTCTGTTAAAGCAAAAAAGCAAAAAAAATTATTGTAAAGGGGTCATATGATGTTGCTAAAAAGAACATTATTTGGTGTATTTGGTGTAATGAAATGTGTTTATGCGGTTTAAGGTTCAAAACACATTATTTTCCTTCCACTGTACATTATTGTTTCTCCTCTATGCCCCACCTTTCTGAAACGCGTCGATTTTTACAAAACTCATCGGTCTGAAAAGCAAGGTGTGCTCTGATTGAACGGCGCGGCCGGCGGATTCGACGAAGGAGCGTCCGACGGGTTTGCGGCAACCTTGCAACTTTAGGGATCTTATCTATTCACGAACAGCTTGTAACACTCCAAAGAGAAAGGAAAACTTGAAATCGCATCATATGACCCCTTTAATGAATGACTGGAAATTTTAAATTAAGTTCAATTAATATTTAAATTTGATTATATTAAAATAATCTTAATTAAAATTCTAAAAGACAAAATCTAGATGTGAAATAAATTTCTTCATTATTTTTATTATTATCATTATTATTAATAATAAAACATTTTATTATGAGTAACTGAACAAATAAATAATAATATGTATCATCTTTTATTTCAGTAGACTTTTTATTTTAATGAATTTAATGATTGGAAAATATTTAAATTGTTATATTTAAATTAAGTTATATTAAACTTAATTAAAATACTAAATGAACAAGTTATTTTTATTATTTATTTATTATTAATAATAATGTATTTTATTATGAATAACTGAATAAATTAAATAATATTAAATATATTGTGGCATCTTTCATTGCAGTAGACATTTTTATTTTAATGACTGGAAAATATTTATGTAGTTATTTTAAAATAATTTAAAAAATGTGAAATCAAATTATTGTTGTTGTTGTTTTTGTTATTATTATTAAGTATTTTATTTTCTTATGAGTAACATGACATCTTTTATTGCAGCCGACATTTTATTGTGAGGACTGGAAAATATTTAAATTAAGTTATATTAATATAATATAATATAATCTTAATTATTTGTTATTATTATTATTATTATAAAAAAAAAAAATTTTTTTTCATTTATGGGGAACTGAACATTAATTAGCCAGACTCATGCAAGTCTTTCCTGTTTTCTCTTTTCCTCAGGTATCTTCAGAGCAATCGTCTGGTCACTCTTCCTCGCGGGATCTTCGACTGTGGGCCGTTAGCTGTGCTGTAAGTGTGCGTGTGGGCGGCAGTATGGTCTAGTTCCCGACGGTTTTGAGCTCATATGGTGAGAATGTGTAGGCAGATCTTTCTGGAGTCTTTCCCGAACCACAGAGTCAAACGCTGAAGAAGCTGAACGCGAATCAACCGGACACACTCCACTCTTTCAGCTCAAACAAAAGCAAAATAAATACAAAGTGAATCAGTCATGTATCCAGATGTTTATCTTTGTTGTGTGAACAGTAACAGACATGCACTTCAACTACAGCGTTTCTAACACACACACACACACACACACACGTCTGGTACACCAAAATCACTCCAGAACTTTTCCATATGCTGCTCCAACGGCTGAACAAGGGAACGATTATACTGAGAGGGAAAGAAAGAAGGGACTTAGAAAGAAGGAAAAACGAGAGGCTGCATGAGCAATAATATCCATTTGATTTTTGTCTTTCAGAGATTTGAGCAACAACCAGATCACCACCATCGAGGAACGAATGTGTGATCATTTATTGAATTTAACTACAATGTGAGTATAACTACGCACACGGGTTTCAAATATTGTGTTCTCAAAACTTTCAAAACCTAAAAAAAGAAGCTGAATGACCTGAATCTAAACCTGAAAACTAGTCTAGATCTAAATACTGATGCGCCAGTTTAAACCCAAGCAGCAAACAGTGTGCCGCGTCTGCCTTATCAGGGGCGTAGATTACGCGGGGGACGCGGGGGACGTGTCCACCCCACTTTTAATATCACGTAAATTCGTCCCCCGCACTTTTTCGGGCAAGTGTGTTCGCATAGAGGTTTTCAAGAGCCGGTGTGAATAAATATAGATTTAAATTCAAAGAGACAGGATAGTCTGTGCATGATCTGATGTTTTATTCGGACACAGAATAAGCCGAGATGAACATCGCGGAGCGCTAAACACTCATGCAGTGTATGTTTCAATCATACTCGTAGCCGGAGGGCGCTCTCGCGCAGAAAGTCGTACGAGGAAATTCCTAATATGGACAAAAGCGTCCAGCTATACCTGTATGAAAACAGTTGTTTTCAGAAAAACAGAAACGTTTGGAAACATGAAGACTTTAAACATACGATTGCGACAATATGGTTTATTTGTATATTGTAATGTTTTATATATATATATATATATATATATATATATATATAATTTTTTAAATTTTTTTTTTATATATAACATTTCTGTCCCCCTCACTTCTGAAATGATGGCTACGCCCCTGTGCCTTATGTAGTGCATTTCTCAGCAGAAGATCTGTTCTGGCATCATTATGTCAGATCCAGTAACAGACACACCCAGAGCTCTGAGTACAGCATCCAGACGTTATACTGACAGCTCACTGTGTGTGTCAGCGATTCGTTCCTGTCTTGTCATTAGAAAAGATGTCCATTGCACTGAAATCAACCGTTTCGTTAAATACGCACACACAAATATACAATTTCTAATTGCAAACTCCTGTTTATGCATATTAATGCTTTAAAAGTGACAAGATAAATGGGTGAATCTCACGAAGAAATAACCTGGTCACATAAAAAAAAAAAATGTATATATATATTCCGCAATGATAATGATGCTTTTTTTTTTTAGGACTATTAAGATTTCTTGACATTATATTCTGTGTTTTGTTTTTTTTTTTCTGTCCAGACTCATTACTATAATGAAGTAATGAAAATATGTCTGGACACAATGCATTTTAAATAAAGTTTGCATAAATTAGATTTAGTACAAATGCTCCCATTATGTTAACTTACATTTGTACAATAGCAATTTAAATCATACAGCATCATCTTTTATTGTGGTATTTTATTTTTATTTATTTATGAGGACCTGAATAAATTAAATAATACTAAATAAAATATCTTGGCATCTTTTATTGCAGTAGACGCTTTATTTTATTTTATTTATTGCAAATCAACCAGATGCACTCAAGTCTATATAAATAGAAAAATAAATAGAAAACTGACATAGAATATACTCAGTAAAGTATGTCATAATATAATATTTAAATTGCAAACTACAGTTAGTATTTGTTGGTAGTAGTATTTGTACTGAATTTAATTTATGCTGATTTTATTTAAAAAGTACTTTCCAAACAGGATGATTTTTATTACTGCATTACAATAATGATAATTTTAAGAGAAAATGTGCTTAATTGTCATGAAAATGATGTCAGGAAACCTTAATGGTCCTAAAAAGTCTATTTTATTACAGTAACCTTTGCCAAATCATAGTGATTATAGTTAAAAGAAAGATTAAAATTCTTTTCCCTTAATATTGATTTAATATTCACATATCAAATGGTTAAATGGCCTTATCCAAATTCTGTTGGCGTTTTTCAATTTGCTAAAGCTTAATTTTCTAGTATAGCGTTTTCTCTGTGACTTTTCAAGTAGGGCTTTCATACACCGATTAAAATTCCCTGGTCAACGTCTTTCAGTTCCACTATAATTATAGATTAGAGCGTGTGTTGTGTTTCCTGGACTGATAAAATAGTGAGTCTGCGGTGACAGATTGCTCCGCCGCTGCCTTACCATCATTTGTGTACATGTCAAATAAAACAAGGCTTAAGCAAAACCCCAGGTCTTCACGTCCTCTTGAAATTACTATCCCTATCACGCTTTTGCTGTTTAAATAAGGGCCATATAATGTTTTCAGCCTATGCCAGTCTATGAATTATTCCCTCTGTCTTTCGGCAGAGATCTGAGCTTTAACCCATTCGTCTGCGACTGTAAGCTGGTGCGCTTGGTGAGCTGGCTGCAGGACCAGGGCATTCGAGTGAAGCGACCCAACTCTATGCTCTGTGACCGGCCACCCGAGGTGAAAAACCAACCGCTGCTCAACGTCAGTGTGCACACCTGCGGTGAGTGACAGGAACACACCTGAGTTTAAGTATTACTTGAAGTATTTAGGCCATTTACATACTACCCCACTACTTGTGCTGCTCCTGTAGTATGCAGTATGCGTACTGTGTCCAAAATGAGCCTTCCTCATTTATTAAGGTGTACAGTATACAGCACTGCATGAAATTGTATCCCATTAGCAATGTGCTCAATTTCATGTCAGGGTTATTATAGTCAACTAAACCTTAACTTGAAGGTGGGGTAAGTGATTTCTGGTAGCCAATGTTGACATTTAAAATCACCAAAACAAACACGCCCCTACCCCAAAAGGGTCTCGTCCCTATTTTGATAGCTCCGCCCCACACATACGTACGCAACCCAGGCAACGATTAGTTCTGTGAAACAAAGCAAAACCAATGTTACACCGTGTCTACACCGGACGCAAGTGGCGCGGCGCGACAAAATACTATAGAATTCATTATAATCAGTGATGCTGTCTACACTGGATGTGGCGTGGCGCGACACGACAAATCCCCGGCAGAAAACTGCTGCTGCTTTCTATTTATGACGTATTGACACAAATTTGAATAGACATATTAAAGAGTAGTATTTTAGTATGCTAGCCCAACTCATCTGTTGTTTTACACGCTATTTAAATAGTATGCAGGTATTCAGTGTGTACTGTACAGAATGTGCTACTCTGCTATTATATTCCAAATGCAGCCGAAAGCAATTAATGTGTTGCAAATAAAGATCTCTCAAATTTTAATCGATTCTCATTTTGATGAATCGATATCTAAAGAAAACTGGAAGCAGATGGAACTGGAAGCCTTGAGTTACAAATGGCCACGGCCACACTTACATTAAAAATAAGGTAGATGGCTTGACGGGATACAGCTACGGCCGGAAAATCACAATCAATTAAATTTGCTACCTATTAGATTGTGTTTTATTAACGTCTACACCTACCCCAACCCTAAACCCAAACCTTAGAATCATGCAAATACAGTAATTAATTGTTGTTCAGCGTGAGATAAATGATGCAGTATTGATGTGCGCATGATTTGTTATTTTCTACTTTTGATATGAAACAATCTCTCAGCTTTCAAATTCTGTGCATTTTACTACGAAATTCAACCAATAAATACCATTTTCTGTGGCTTGACAGATCGCTGTATCTACCTGTACAGTTAAAGCGGCAGCGCGGAGCGAATGTGAACCGATCATCTCTTCTTTGATACTAGTTACAGCATGAAATAAACATGAATGAACATCAGAAGTAATGTTAAAAGAAACAGTACAACATACTATCATGTCTCATGTAATCACTCAATAATTCCGCACACAGCTGCAATTCCAGGTTTTCAAACAGAGATGGCGACAAAGAGGCAAAACTTACGGACTGCAGCTTTAAGTGCAATTGAAATGTTTCTATATGAATCAGTTGTTCATTTTAACCATTACCATATCCAAATGAATCGATATCATAAATTGAATCGAATCGCAAGCTAGTAAATCGAAATTGATTTGAATTGTGAAATTTGTGTCAGTACTCAGCACTAATCATTACCTTTACCTGCTTACCTTCATTTGTTGGTTAGCCCACACCAAATGTAACATTTCTAGAAAATGGTACATAGATTTTCGTTTGATTCCGAGCTTTGAATTGGCCGTTGCTGTCTCGCTGTCATCTCTCAGGGCTGACGTACGCGGGCTGTCTACAGGACGAGGAGCATGCGGCAGGCGTGGAGCTGGTCATCTTCTCCTCCTCCACTCCCGGTTCGTTCTCGCGTGAGGAATGCAACTCCAAATGCTTCCATGAGAACCAGCTCTACGGCGGTCTGGGTCAGCAGAGAGAGTGTCTGTGCAGCACCAACTCAGAGCCCAATCACATCAGCGAGTCCCAGTGTTCGGCCGCGTGCTCGGACCCGCTGGTCATGAAGGAGTGCCGCTGGACTGTGGCGCAGGACGTGTTTCAGGTCTGTGTGAAGAGGTTCAGGTTGTTAACTTCCTCTAGAGTTGATTAGACTCATGTGATCGGTCACTCAGACTTAGATGAGCTCACCTATGGGCTGAAACCAAATTCACATAGTGTTTGCTTTATATAGTTTTCATGATTAGAATGAATGCATTTCAAATCATGGTACACTATAAATATTTCACAAAAAATACCTGGATTGTGTACAATTCCTGGGGGATTTTTAAAAAGTATATAGCCATGCATACTTTTTGGGTGTAATGTTACCCATAATGCATTGCGCTGTGAGGTAGAGTGACATACTGCGTACTAAAAAGTATATACTTTACCATTGCCAGTTTTAGAATTTGAGAACCCAAACTTTTGAATGCTAGAGTTTGAATTCGCTCTCTACCCACAGGTGAATTTCTCCGCCTCTCTTCCTTCTCGCCGTGTGTCTGTTCATTCCGAGGCTGTCCTGTCTGTCGCCTCGTCCGTCTTCCCTGCCTCTTTCTCATGGGACTTCGGTGACCTTTCACCCCGGGTCAATACCTCTACACCCAACACCACGGCGAGGCATAAGTACGGTGTCCCGGGACGGTACCAGGCTCAAGTGAGTCTCTCAGCAGGTCACCAGGAGATCGTGGCGCAGGGGAACGTGAGCGTGGAACTGCCCCCTCGACTCGAGCTCCACTGCCCCGAACTCATAGTGGCCAATCAGAGCCTGGAGGAGGCGGTTTCTCTGGTCAACTGGGGCGGAGTGGGCGTAACCGTGGACTGGAGGATCACGAAGGATGGAAGTGAGATAGCAAGAGGTACAAGACAAAATATATGCTATAATATAAACATATCAGAATGATTTCTGAAGATCATGTGACACTGAAGACTGGAGTAATGATGCTGAAAATTCAGCTTTGCATCACAGAAATAAATTACATTTTAAAACTTATTACAATAGAAAACAGTTATTTTAAATTGTAATAATATTTCACAATATTATTGTTTTTACTGTATTTTTGATCAAATAAATGCAGCAGAATACACTTCTTTCAGAATCATCTAAAAATCTTACTGATCCCAAATATTATATCATATATCATATCATATATCATATCATATAATATATCATATTATATTATATCATATCATATTATATCATATTAAAGCATTAGAAATTGGTTGTGTATTCAAAAGTAATCAAATATAATTGGTCTAAAAATATATTTATTGTGATTTGAGCTAAAGAAACAATTTATGATACTGTTGTCATCAGATTTTATATTGAATAAAATAATTTTTAATGAGATGAATCTACTTTAATCAACAGTTTATTAGTACTGAATGAAATACAATTCATAATAGACATTCCTCCGCAATTTTGGAGAGTTTTTTTTTCACTATAGTCATCCCAGTGCATTTTAGGATTGTTATCACAAAGGATAAATGCCATATTGTGTCTCAGCTGTAGCATAATGATTTAAAACTGACTTTTTGTCAGGAATGTGCCTTGAAATGCTGTCTAGATAGGCAGCTCACTACTGTACTTACAATCACATACAAACTGGCACAATCTTGATGACACATTCTCACAGGCGCGGTTATGTCAGGACAGCTCAGATGTAACATGCTCTGAAATGACCATGGGACTGTCTCTCAAAATATCCTGCTTTTCATGATCTATCAAGCCATAAACGTCCCATCTCTTACACAAAGCATGGCTGTCCCTGTCGAGCGATGGCATGTGAAGATTCTCTTGTTTGTTTATCAGCACTGCAGAGATCTGTCCGTCATTGTTTGCTTTGAGAGAACAGATAAAAGTGCACTGCGCTGATCCCAAGAGGAGGGACGAGAAGAACACGGGTTACAGAAGCAGAAGAAATCATTACTGATTTACTTACTGTGGGAAAAACAATGCCTAATTCAACTTACCATAGACAATAAACAGGCTTATCAGCTTTTAAAACATTTTGTCGTTAACATCCGATTACAATCATCTGTCACTTGGTAGATTCTCATGTAATTAGACGTCAACATGAAAAGGTTGAATGAGATCATCAAAAACCATGAACGAAACATAAGATTTAAAAATGACCCAGATGACATTTAATATAGGTTAATGACTTATAAAATTACTTATCCATAAAAGTTTATAATAAATAAACAGTGATTTGTACAGTGAATTACAGTGTTGCACTGAAATCTCAGTGATATGTTGATATGCTTTTTATGGTCATGTTTTTATAATTTTTTCAGCATATTTAGCATACACTCTAAAAAATGCTGGGTTAAATACAACCCAGTGCTGGGTAAAATATGGACAAACCCAGCGATTGGGTTGTTTTTAACCCAGCATTTTTTAGAGTGTATAATATTTGCTCTTGTTTGATTGTTTTTTAATGTTAATATTAATTATGCATTATTAAAATTGGGGATTTTCTCAATCAGCCTGTTAAAATCAGCATATGAAAATGTTTTCTGAAGGATCATATGACACTAAAGATATTATAAATATATTATAAATAATATTTATTAAGTTGAACTTTCTGGCCCTTTAGCGGAGCCGCTGTGTTTGCCAGATGCGATCCATCACGCTGACTCATCCCGCTGTTTCCTGTTGGTGTCGGAGGAAGTCAGCTGGTCAGATGCACGTCGGAATTGTTCAGCCCGTGGGGGGGAGCTCGCCGTGGTGCATTCCCAAACTGTCCGGGACCTTCTGGCCCCTCGAATCACACAGTGAGTCTGAAACTGTAGAACAGCTTGAAATGCTTTTTCAACTGTTGTTTCGAAACATCTGTAGGCTAATTCCAAATTTAAACATTTTAAATCCCACTGCCAATGCAACATTTTCCACTGATACCTGTGCCACTTTTTGAACCCCGCTCTCGTTTTCTTCGCTCTCGTCGAGTCCTGTAGAATTTCACTCTGAAACAGCAGCAGGGCACCATGGGAAATACCTTTTAAAGTCACTCTCAGTGTTGCCCAGTTCACGACCTGCAGTGAAAGGACTGAAAATGTGTGAGTTCCTCACAGTAACAGACAGAAAGGCCAGAACATTCAAAGACCAGACGCAGACTTGATGAAGTTCACAAGGAGACCAAAAAACATGTCTTATAATGTGAAAAAGTGTCTTATTAGAATATTGAACGTGTGAAACCATTACAGACATAGAGCAAAAAATTATTTAACATGAAAAGCAAAACAACATAAGATCTCGTTTTCCCTTTAAATTAAGTTTATTTTTGTTACCCCTATTTTTCTAGTTTTAGTTCATCCAAAAATGAACATTTGCTGAAAATGTACTCACCCTCAGGCCATCCAAGATGTAGATGAGTTTGTTTCTTCGTCAGATTTGGAGAAATTTAGCATTGCATCCCTTGCTCACCAATGGATCCTCTGCAGTGAATGGGTGCCGTCAGAATGAGAGTCCAAACAGCTGATTAAAACATCACAATAAAACAAACAGCTGTTTGGACTCTCATTCTGACGGCACCCATTCACTGCAGAGGATCCATTGGTGAGCAAGTGATGCAATGCTACATTTCTCCAAATCTGACGAAGAAACAGGCTCATCTACATCTCGGATGACCTGATGGTGAGTACATTTTAACAATTTGGAATTTTTTGGTGAACTATTCCATCAAGCATAAACCCACTTAATTCTGATACATTTTCAGAAAACAGGACTTGATATCTAAAGTTATTTTGCTTGTGATGTAAATGTATCGTGATTTAAAATGTTTTGATATTTCTACTAGAAAAGACAAAAATACTGAGTAAGAACATTTTATTTTATTTTTGCAAATGCATGGCCTTTGTTTCGGCATGTAATGTAATTAATGCACATAATGAAAATTTCTGCATTTTACACGAAACGATCGGTCTGTGCAAGAAACTGAACAGTATTTATATCGTTTTTTACCTCTGATTTATATATCATGATTTACTTATATGTGCATTACCGCCACCTATCTCTCAAATGGACCATTGACACTCTATCTACAATCTCAATTAGGAGTGTCAATGGTCCATTTGAGAGATAGGTGGCGGTAATGCACTTATAAGTCACCTACATCTTGGATGCCCTGGGGGTAAGCAGATAAACATCACATTTTCATTTTTGGGTGAACTATCCCTTTAAGTCCAAAGTCACATTTATTTATATAGCGCTTCATACAAAACGAATTGTTTCACTGCACGTGCTAAAGTTGCAAAAATTCATCAATTATGAAATTATTGTATTTTCTGAGCACCGCTATGTTGAATGAGCTACTGCTTTCCTCCAAGCCATTTTGGTAAATGATTTCAAATTTGCCTGGCTTGTAAACGAAAAATAGCACATTTGGACGTGATTGGACTAAATGGGAAGTCCTTTCTGGCGATCATTATCGTTATTATTCACCAGCAGTGCACAAAACGTGTAGAACCTAAATTGCACAGTTGATATTCACAATTACAACTTAATTATGACCGATTTGCTTCCTCTAGATTCTTTGATTGACTTTTCCATCTCAGGGAATAATTTCCCACTGGTAATAATGCCATTGTGGAGGTATTCATGTGCGCTAATCTTGTAAAAGCCATCATCCTGACGAGGCCTGAAGGCAGCATTAGCTCGGATGTGGACCTGATATTATGCTGATAGTCAAACGTCTCTATAGATGAATTAACCCTGGCAGTGCTGCTTCCTTTTCTATCATACTCTAGTCTTACAATTATAATTCTGATATTTGCAAATATGTTTCTAAATATTTCATCTTGATGTACACACACTTCCACTCAAAGTTTCAATACTTAATTTGTTTTGACTGAGTTTAGTTCTCATGATATTCAAAAACATTTTGATATAAAGGTTCATTCTTTAAATACTGAAAATAGTTTGTAGCATTTTATTTATTAATTTAAATTTATTAATTTGTATGCATTTTATGCATTTTAAATTAATTCTTACAAACAATTCCTTGACGATTGCAATGGCACAGTAGCATAAGGATAGAACAAAGGACATAGAAAACACAACAAACATGCCTAGATACTTACATATTTATATATTATAGTTAAATTTTATGTTTTTTTATGATTTGGTAGAATCTTTATTTATTTATATATTTTAAATGTTAAAATTATTTATGTATTTATTCATATGTTTTCATGTATTTTTAATATTTTTAAGAAGATGATTTAGAATGATCATTATTTATACATTTATTTAAAAGTTTAAAAAATATTTGATAGGTTGGATCAGTTATTTATTTATTCATTTATTTATGTATTAAATTATTAGTTTTTTTTAGTTCATTCGTTTATTTTGTTTTTAATTTTTAATTTTTAATTAATTAATTTTTTTAAATGAGGAATCTAAAAGGAAAAACATGTTCCTTCCACACTAGTTTTTAAAAGCGTTGCAGGACGCACTTCATGTTGCTGGAATCTAGACAAAGAAGAAACTCAAATATCAGAGAGTTTTCATTTGTTTTGCTCACTACATCATTACCATACATTCATTCAGTGTTTTCACGACTTGTTAGAAAATGTGAAAACTAAAAAATAAGTAGCACATCTGCTGAAACACAGCTGTGGAAATACGTTACACTCCAGGAGGGAGGAGACGCTAGTTCTGTGTGTGTGTGTGTGAGAGAGTGTTTCCTGTCTTCTGTTCCACACCCATCATTAATTTGAGGGCAGAGCTTCCACTGACCAAAGCGAGAGAGAAAGAGAGCAAGACAGAACGAGTGTTGGAGGAAGTGTGTTTTCTATCTCTTTAACCTGCTGCAGATGGACCACATACCCCAAACACACACACACGTCTTATGTAAGAATGCACAAGTGAATAGACCACTTTTTATTGTTTCTTTTCTGGCGCAAAGAGTCATGTTTTTTGTCCCTTTCTTTCCCCTTCTCTTTTCTTCTCTTTCGTTTGTAGTTTTACAGATGTGAGATGTTGGCTTCAGCCCGTTACAACCATGAGTGTGTGTGTGTGTGTGTTTGGTGTAATAGGCCTGTCAAAGGCTGTGGCATTACTACTGGCGGTCTGGGCGGGGGAAAAATGTTGTTTTCACAAAAATACTTGCATTTAAAGTCAAAACAGAAAAATAATTCAAATTCTTCAGAAGAATGTTCTTAAAAATCATCATAAATAATTTCTTAGAGTTAGGATAAACTCTAATTTGTTTTAAATCCCCTAAGGTAAGGCCTGTCATTTTATTCAAAAAAAAAAAAAGAAAAAAAAAAGATATATACACTGAACAAAATTATAAACGCAACACTTTTGTTTTTGCCCCCATTTTTCATGAGCTGAACTCAAAGATCTAAGGGGCCTATTTGGTTCTGGTTTCATTCACCATTTTTATGTCTCGTTTGAAGGCAAATGAAACTTCAAAATGATCAGAGTCCCGTCGGGTTCATTAAGGCACACATTCCCCTCGGCTGCTGCTTTATTAGGGTTATTGAAGCTCCGAACGCACTATGCATAAAACATTGAGAGCGCATTCGCCTTGCATTAACATCCTGTGTGCTCATAGGAAAGAAAAATCACAAACGACATCTCTTTAAAATCTCAGTCCCTACTCCTGGATGCTAATGAGATTAAATGGAGAGCAAAAGCAATAGTTGGGCCAGGAGTGATGATTCTGTCATTGTTTATTCATGTCATTCCGAATCTGTGAAAAAAAAATAATAATAATTTTATTCTCTTTTTTAAAGGAGCTATTTCTTTTAGGCCCAGAAACAGCTCTGGGGTCTCGTTTGTGATGATGTTGTCGGTGTTTGTGTGCATTGCAGGGAGCGCGGCGTGTGGTTGGGTTTGAGCGATCAGTACTCTCCCCGTGTCCTGTGCTGGGTGGACGGTTCGGAGGTCCCTTTTCAGTTGCATTTGGACGCCTGATAAGCAGCTGTAGATGTCTGTGTTTGTCTGCAGTGCGTGTTCCTGATGCCGCTGTGTATACGGTGGGCACCGCTGTGTTTCATTCCCACAGTCCTCTGAGCAGCCCCACAGCGACACACACCTCTGTGCCCAACACACCCGCCGGGAGCGTAGAGGTACACACACTCACTCACACACACACACACACACACACACACACACACACACACACACACACACACACACACACACACACACACACACACACCC